AAAAAATTCACAAGGAAGAGTCGAAATTGAAATCCACATCGAAAATGATAATGTAAATGGTTAATAAAGGTGCATAACGGAGAGGAGCGAGGAAAGAGCTGAGATCTAATGCCGAATCGCGAAACGACATCGTGGAGGGTGAAAACGCAAAAGGAAAGGGGAGCTGAGAAAATAAAAGCGGAATTGAAAAGCAGATCTAATCGGAGAGTAGATGGATCGGAAAATGTTACCCTGTGATCCGACTCGGAGGCGAAGGCCGGAGAGAGGAGGAAGAGGAAGAGGAGAGAGAATCTGGAGAAGATGGACATGGCGGATCTGAATTCTTAAGAGAAAGAGAACACACGACCCTTCAACTTGAACTTCAACTTGAACGATTCTGACTCTCTCTCTTTCTCTCTTTGCAACTCATTACTATTTTTTTTTCACCATCAATCAACACAACTTTCTATTACTTACGCTACACTAAAAACAAAACTCTTTTTTTAATCTCTAAATCTTTTATTTTGTATAATTAAATTATTTAAAGCAAATTATTTTAATATATGAATTATATTTTTATTTTTATAATAAAAACTTAAATAATTATATATAATATTAATTAATAATGAATATATTATTAAACATTAATCCTTAATTAAGGTGATTATAAATTTATAATTCTATATTTATGTTAGAGATTGAACCTGAATGGCGAATGAAAATTTTGGTAAGAATATTACTAATTTGTGCCTATGATATGGTTATTATTATTAGAAAAATCACTAAGTGCTGAAAACTTGGCCTGAGATTCTATTGGGCTTTTGGTGATTACATGTCTACTATACAACAAAAATTTTCTCCTGTGATGAAAAAAAATGTACAATAGAATTGATCCAATGGGCCATGGCTAGATTCTGATTCATGAAGCTTCAGGGCCCTTCGCCATTGTTGACCTTAAAAAGGGACACCCTACCCATAAATGCGAGGTTGCGACAATAATATACAACAGTTTTTAATACGGTTTATTTTTAAAAGAAATGATCAATCAGTTTCTTTACCCCACATATGAAATTAAAATTACAGCTTCTAGTTTTAATCATGTTAAAATATAATTATTTTATGACAGCGATTCATATGCTCGGATTATATTTAAAAAGTTTAAATGCTAGTAACAGATCTTCTATTATTTACTAAAATTTATTAAAAATTACTGAATTTTTTAACTTTGACTTCATATTTAATGAAACCCATGCATAATTTATAATTATGTGTTTCTTTTGATCAATTTTAAGCAATAGGCAGAGTAAATGGTCATTTGTATCCTTAAATTTAGAAGACATTGTGATATTGGTTCTTAAAAATACAGAAAATTATAAAATAGACTTTTGAATGTATAAATAAACAATCACAATAATTTAAAATGTGGCTAAAATGATATTGATATATATTCGGGGACTAAAATGAAGGTAAGTAGTTAAATTTGATTAGATAATTGACATTAAGGAACTTATTTAATAATTTCTTATTATAAAAAACTAATATAACAAAACATTTTGAATTTTGGAACCAAGGTGAGACTTTATTCAATAGTAGCAAGAGTGGGGAAAAAAAAAAGTTAAAAAGTGTGTTATTAATATTACTCTAAAAAATATTAAACGTGTAAATTTAAAATTTAATCAAATTGTAATCTTATTTTAAACTTTTAATTAGTGAGAATTCAACTTAATATTAAGGCAGCTCAGCACTTACATATATATTCAACAAAATTATCTTGAGACCTTGAATGGAGGATGTTATGAATTGTGTTATGTTAGATTTGAGGAAAAAAAATAAACATATAACAATAATAATATTAATAATGATAATATGTTTGATAAATATGAGGTAAGAAATTTGTAGTAGTGATATTAAGAATATTGATAATGACAGGAATGACAATGAGTAACATTTGTTATAAGATAATGTTGATAACAATAATTATAATTATGATGATATAATGATGATAACGGTAATTGTAGTAATAATAATAATAATAAAATGCTATAATGATGTATCTATTAAATATGTTATCAATATATTAAATGTTTTAATATATTTTTAATTAATTTAAAATGAATAAGTTTTGTTGTTGATTTTATAATTATTTATTTATTTTTTTGTGACATCTTTACACTTAATAATTATTATTCAAAATAAAATAATAAAGCAACTACCTAAAGTTCATATACATACAATTCCTAAAAATACAATGCTAATATATATAGAGTTAATTACTTATACGTTGTCAGTGTAAAGTTTTTTTTATACTGACAACCAATTATATATTTTAATTGTGTTATGTCACTGTTAAAAGTAAATGTGTTTATAGTGACATGACACAATTAAAAAATATAATTGGTTGTCAGTGTAAAAAAAATTTTACACTGACAATATATAGGTGATTAACTCATATATATATATATATATATGTGTGTGTGTGTGTGTGTCATAGATCATGTACATATATACATAACTACAC